GGCTACATCGTTTCTCTGGTCTGCCTACGACTATTCTTTACCGGGTGCGCGTCTGCGCGGCGTTTCATCATGTAACCGAGTCGCCAGACATGATGGTCTTATAGCACAGGGCAGATTAAATCGTTTTGGAAGTAGTTATGCAGCAAAGATCCGTTTGAGGTAAGATCTTCTACAAGTGAGTAAAAAGAATGTCCCAAAACATGAGCAAAATGACTTTGAATCCACTTATGCCTAGTTACCGATTATTTTTGGATGTTTAAACTTTTTCAGAAATTCTTGTATGCTCACACATTTTGTTGTAGGTGCTTGGAACAGATCAACATCGCCTACTGTCCGTACCAAAACGGGGTTGGAAATTCTTTCAAGTAAACTTCAGGGATCCGTGTGATGGCAGGGTGGAAGCAAAACACAACTGTGCCACATCTTTTCGTAAGACCTTCATGAACAGTCGGTAGTCTTTACTTGGGCAATGTTTGGCTTTTGATATAAAAGCTTCATCGGGCCAAGTAAGCAGGTCACCAAAGTGGCCAGGTTATAAGACAGTCCGGGAACCAATCAGTAAGTTCTCTTCAGATTATCACACTAGATCAGTGTTCAGTGTGATTGTCAAAATCTTGCTTTGGTAGATTGGGGGAGTTTAAAATTAATTCTGATCGAGTTTGATTCGTCAATCTTCCACTTCAGGCTGCTTCAATTGATGATTCACCTCGGGTGTTACTGATATATTTTCCTTGGTGTTTGTGGGGGTGTGCGTGCTCCGACAAATCAGTTTGAGGGAGGGGATGTGATCAAGTGGAATTCAGATGACCGCACAACAACACGTGTTAGCTTGATTGATCCAAAACCGTTCACCACGCGCATGCCAGTTCCACACCTGTTCTGCTAAGGCCGGGATGCTTGGCGATTTCTACAGCCTTGGCTATCAGCCTTGTGACGCCTCAAAACCTCAACATTTTGCAAATCTATTGTATCCACTGTCCAGTGCGTGTTCCGCAGTTGCCGAGTCCCCCAGTAACGCTTGATATTTATCCACGTTTCTCGGCGGCCTGTTTATTTTTCTACTATGCTCTCCGATTCTGATGTGTGCCACATCTCTGTCAGCCTACTGAGAAAGGCTACTTCCGAAGCGTATGATGGAAATTTTTGGATTTCTGTCTAAATTATACGTTCTATGTTGCGAACCAAATTCAGTCAAGGAATACCGATTAATCTGTTTTATAAATGCCTTTACGAAAGTGTTAAATTTATTTTGCTACAACGCGATTGTTTGAAACCTCACGCTGCCCTCTTAGTGAGCCCATCCCAGGAAGAGGCTGGACAGCCGCGTCTACTTGAGGACGCAACTTGGGGAGAAAAAATCCTTTAGTATGCAAACCCGAGTGAAAGACGTTTGGCTCGATTTTCTCTCACCTAAAAGTGCATTTGCTGTTGTACTGTATTCACATTCCAGTACAACTAGCACCACAAGAGGGAACTTATCGGATGGAGCATGCTTGGTAAAATAACCTGTTAGATTAGTTCTACAATGGACTGTCTATTTCAGGTGCTGGAGTGCCATTTTACGCATCCCAAGGAGATTAAACGAAGTGAGTAACTTATTTTTTGGTCTTTACTTATCCGGAAAAAAGCACTTTCAACCGTGACTGACAAAATTCTCTTGCAGACTCCATGTAGATGTCACCTATTCGGAACACAAGTTGCAGACATTTAGCCTACAAGTGTCAGTCTGATCGCCCTAGTGTCCAACTTGACGAAGAAAAATAAACAGTACGACTTACCTTTTCTACTGTTGATTTGATAATCACTTGAGATCTGGGTTCCGTATTCACAGGACAGTCCAGTTCAAGAACTTGAAAAATTTTAAAGTGGAACATGTATGACTTGCATGTGTCGTAATTTAAAGGACTATCTTTTCGATGACTGTGAAAACTAGTTACTCATAAAACGTCATCATCCGACGGGGCATAAGTAGTAAGCTCTAGATGTATCGATTCATACGAAGGCATAATCTCACCACAGGGTCTTATTGGTCTGAAAGTTTCGCCAAACCGGTTTTCCGTAGAGCGAATGCGAAAGATATTCGCCTTTGGCCAAAGCAAGACAGTAGTTGACAGAGCAATAACCACGCACTACAGAACAACTGACGGGAAGAAACCTACTGTTAACAGCTACTGGGAGAATTTAATCTTCTAAGGCATTCAACTCAAATCTCGATGGGACTGGTATTACCCCCAAAAAAGATTCCATTGTGAGTATCATCGATCCTAAGGTTAAACTGTCGCCACAGTATAGACGACATCGGATACAAAGTTGAATCTGTTCCATGTCGTGAACACCTGAACTCTCAGTTGCGCCTAACCCTTTCCATCGCAGAATATATGCTTCACACTGAATTCCATAGTATGCTTGATATCTCCATGGCACAGCTCATCCACCAATATTACTGGAGTTTCATTATGACAGTAGATACGCAACCTGTCTCTTTTCTCAACAGGTAGCACGATACTTTAAAAAAAGGTTGACACCAGCTACACAGCATAGGTCAGGGTTGGTGGCACGTGATGCCATTGACTGTGTAACGTGAAAAACTATTCAAGGTTGAAGGTTGTTTTGCGCGTGATCCATTTGCGAATCAATATTGCTCACCGTGCTCTAAGAACGGACGCAAAAGGCATAGATTGAAGCCACATGTCTAGACTGGATCCGATGTTGCCTCAAAATTGGTTGAAAAGTCCAGCGGATTCATTACAGATTCAGGCTTTGCTATCAACTCTTTCAACCATAACAAAAGAGTGACCCGTTAACGTTCATAAAAGAGTTCCATAAACAGCGGAAAAAGCGTGATTAAAACAGTTATGAGGAGGTGCGAAATACTGTGCACAAAATTCCACAGTATATTTTGCAGCGCAAGAATAGGAAAGCCTACTCAAAAGGAAGAACAATGTTGAATGCCCCTTGGGGGAACTCAAGAGCGACGTTAAAACGAAAGCAAGTATTCCTCATCATCTAAAACATCTTGACTGGCCACTATAAACGGCTTTTCTAAGCCCAATTAGCTAGATTACCTCAAACTCTGATTTAGAGGTATTTGGCCCATAAAGTATTCGTATTCGGGTAACCACTTGATGTGGTTGTACATTCGGCACAAAAATTACCTGTACAAATTTCATTATAGTCGCCTCCAGATGAAACACCACTCATGAATCCCACAAAGCATCGCGTTTTTTTACATAACAGGAAAGTGTGCTGTAACGGTTGGAGGAGCTCTGTCATCTAAATGCTTTTGGTGTTTCTAATCTTTTGGTACTTCTGCACCAATTGTTTTGTTCGCTCTCAGTTCAGTGGATATTCACTCATAAGGTAGCGTTGACTCTATCATGCTAGCTATATTCGATCCCACTTCATATGCAGTAGAAGCTGGTCCGTAGCCGGCTGATCAGCTCACAATGGCCATATGAGGTTTTTGCACGACACAACTAATTACACTCCATGTATCTTTTTGTCAAACCATACACAGGCTATGAAATGAATTAATATGTATCGAATATGCTTGTCCTTCACCCCGGAACTTTCATGGTGAATGTAACATTTATATGGAGCATTCCTGTTGGAGACGGAGGAACAATGGTCCACCTTCTCTGAACTCGCTCTCCCCAAGAACAGCCAGAGCGAGACTTTAAATCACGTCCTCCACCGCAGTCGTCTGTCTTGGTAGACGATGGCTATCATACAGGACCGAAAACAGGATTCACCTGATATCATTGAAAACCTGGTTCCCCTCCAAGGGGACCGATGTATATTCATTCATTAACCTGACTGTGAGGTCTCATCAAGTAGATGTAATCCCACGATTTGACAGACCTCTCAAAAAAGAACGGACATAGTACACAGTGATTCATGCACGTAGCATGAACGATATGACGGGGATGAAAAATACATAACCGATGAAACTGATATCAAATGACTCACCTATTGATACCATTTCGACTTTCTCCACGTCACAAATGCTAAATGGAAACATATTTGGACGAAGATCTAAAAAAGGAACGAGATGTGGAGATTTGTCATACAGTGGTTTGTTCAGGACAAAAACGAAAACCGCATCACGAGAAATCCCATTTTGACTGCAATAAAACCAAATATATACTTAGGTACCGTGTCAACCAAATCCTTTCGACCACCAAATCTCTAGGGATATATTGAACGGTAGGGCCAGAATGGAGCTATCGGATGAAGTGCATGTGTCACATACTTCTGACAAGTTCGGTCGAATCTGTATTTTCTTGTGTTAGTCCGGATGACTGAAGCTTTCCCCACGTTATTCGTACCACAGAACATTTCTGTTGCCACCGAATCCAGAAGTGATAAAATCGATAACTAATATCACTTACTTTATATGTTTGGATATTTTGGCGATAACTGAGCTCAAACTTGCATACTGGGAGCAGAGCTTTCTCTGCCCGGTTATGTGGTGAGCGAAGGCGACCGTGAGGTGGACAGTGTATGAACTGGCAATGAAGTATGAAAGCAGCAACCACCAAAGTGAGTCGGGCGGACAACTACGCCTACCCTGGATGGGGACTCTGGGAAGCAAATCGCCTATGGTTAACGACATTGTCAGGAACATTCCAATCGCACAGTCAGTGGGTTTCGCATCTCACAGCGATTGTCTTCAGTGCGTAGCTACCCTGTTCCCGAACTAATCACATACGCCATCGTCTCCAAGGCTTGGCCGTGTCTCCCACAATCTCCCACTTTCCGGTGATCGAAGCTGTAGCAGATGGAACCAATGTGCTTATGGTTCATGGTATATAGCTGATAAACTTATTGATTGATTAATTGATCGACTGACTGCTTGACTGGTTAATTGATTGGCTGATCAGAAGTTCAGGTAAGAATTTCATACAAGTAAATGTGGACGTAACAACAGTCTTTGCTTCTTCAACTGCCCGGTCTAGTGAAAAAAACAGGATACATTCAGATACTCTGTTAGCTATCTTTTCAAAGCAGCCATTCCTAGACTGATACTGAATGCAGACAGAAAAGTCTCCCTTCAAAAGGCATGCGATCCTATAAAACTAGCCTGTCTACTCATTGCAGCCGTCTTCGTATGACAAGGGGTTAGTTGACCAATTCTTGTTATTTTTAATGAAGATCTGACCCTATTTGTAACGACACTTGTAGGAGCATACACTACGATTTTACTGACACCAGCCGTTCGTCAAACATCAATGAGTATTTAGTCGGATAAAGCATTCTAAAATTTCCAAAATGCCCCAGAAACATCTTTAACATCGGCGTACCACTGTTCTTTCAGTGTGTTGCCGTTTTGAAAAGGTTCACGTTCCAATTCATGGAAATAATTCAAAACAGAGTATTTTCGAAAGACGTTATGGCGCCAGGTAAATAAAAAGCTAAAAGATTGATCAAAAATTGCTCGGGCATCGCCCATGGTCTTCGACTGATCATCGGGACGGGCGCAAAACATTTCATCATAATGTGTTCAACGAATTCACCGTGGATGTGGAATACCCTTTTCTTACACAACTGTTTACTGCTAGAAAGGATGAACTGTTCGAATTTGAGGAAAGTAGCGAAATAAGTTGATTGCACAAACTTATGTTATGTAGCTTTGGTGAGGCAGATTATCAAGCAAGAAAAGTAAATTTTTTAAAACTACAAGAATGGATTGCCATTGACTAGCAAGGTGAAATTTATTGTTGAAAATGTGGGAAAGTATGGTAGAACACAAAGTTGTTGGTAGTGTAAGGAGATTAGGTTTTTTGTGGAGATTCCATTCTGTAAGTGAGGCCAATCTATGCTGAAACTCTGGAAAGCACAGTATAGCCATTACATCCTTAATGGGGATTATCAGTAGTATGCATCTCACGAAACTCTGGAGAGTCTCGAACGTGCGACCTCCTGGCTAGCAGTTTACCAATTAACCGTTGGACCACGAGCGGCTAACCAGCCGTAAGAGTGGAAAAACTTCCGTATGGGTGAGATTTCCCTCTGAGAGTTCGTTGCTCAAGGAGCCAGTCAACACGTGCGACCGCGCGATGTGATTCTCGTGATTGAAGGGTGAGCAGCGCTACGTAGTGTCCAAGTGCGAGTTAATCACACTGCTGATCAGCTACTGTGGCCGAACGGTTAAGTGTTCAAACTACTAGCCAGGAGGTCGCGAGTTCGAGACTCTCCGGAGTTTCGTGAGGTGCGCGCTGCTGATGGTTCCCAATAAGGATGAAACAGCTGTACAGTGCTTCTCGGTTTTTCAGCACAGATCGGCTTCACTTACAACGCGAAATCCCCAGAGACCACAAGGTTATAATTGACTAGAAACTTACCAGTCACTGGGCCATCTGTATTGGGTGAAATGAAACAGCAATTTACAAACTAGGAACAGTTTTATTGAAATTTAAGAAAAGCTACTCAGACGGTAAGTTAAATATAAATGGTTATTCCCAGGAGAGAAGTACAGTCTTCGTGAAGAATGTGTTTGCTAGATGTGCGGAAGGCAACGGAGATTTTGCCCGATCGGTGTTTTGCCAAGCAGTATAAATGAACTAGTGTTCAATGTTACGCAATAATGCCGTAGGTTGTGGGGTGCCTTCCGCAACAGATCTGTGCTGGGGGACTTTCCAAACTTCATGAGGGCAGACGCACTTGCGTCCGCGTAGAAAGGTAGGCAGACGTTAAGTCCAATAAAACAGCTGGACACAAACTGCGCGCCAAGCTGAAATGGATTTGCGCACCGGGTTATTCACAGTACACCAAATGGAGATCCCTGTTGCTCTAGATCCTTGAAGGTATTACAGGTGTAACGGTGATACTACTGATAAACAGGGATGCGAATGGTATGTGTTTTTCGTAGAATTTCGCTTTGCGTCTCTTGAAGACGGGAGATCTATTGCGGATGGAGTCATCTCTTACGAAATTAGTGGAGTCGCTTTGTAGCATCCGCTTGGATTTGAACAACAGTCAGTGAACATCCAGGAAAGTTCAGGAACACGCGTACAAGAGAAGATGGATGTTCAGTTTTTGTTTTGTTTTGTTTTTGCTTTCCTTTCCAATAGTCTGTAACTAGTCAGTTGGCATTTTCTAATAAATTACTCCGCAGCGAAGGCCTTCTTCCCTTCAGAGGTAGCATACTACGACAATAAACTTCGTCATTTCCAATGCTATCAGTCATATACCTATTGCTCGTACTCAGTAAGTCTTGGATAATTTAGAGCACCGGTCTGGCTACCAAGCTTATATAGCTATGATTTCCAGACAAAATTTACATGGACATTGAGAACAAACATGCACGTTTTTGCTCCATAAGTACAAGACAAAGTGGAACAGATGGAACTGAGTCGGTTCTATTAACTTAAGAGTCTCAAATTATTTTCACAAAGGAAACTACGCACAACCTTTTGAGTACTTTCCTTTATGAAAATACACTGCGATATCTCGAATATCGTGTCAACTGAATCATGAGGCGGCCCGTGTGCAGCGCATTCAGTTGTAGAATATCGTAAACGAGAGATTCAGTTGTCTCTCGTGAAAACCAAATTGATTTGCAAATTCGTATATTTCTCAAAGTATCTTTGCGACTTGATATTACACCCGTTTGAACACGTCATGTGGATAGTTCTAAACACGGCCATTATAACGGTTATATTTTAGACCGGCAAACGGGTGGTTTATTTTTGAAGACGTGTCTGAAATCCAAGAAGGAATATCGTCGACAGGTAAGCGCACCACCAACTGACGTGACTTTGAAGAGAAACCCATAGGAGAGTGATGCTAAACTTTTCAGATAGTAACCGAAAGCCAGTAATAATATGACCACATAGCTTGCCAAACAGTGAGCCACTTTTACCCCAGGTGGGCCAGTGTGCATTATCCAGTCTACTGAAATCCTCATAACCTATTTCAAAACATGGATTCCCATGTTACTAAGTATAAAATTGTCGGCAGAATGAAAGCATTTGCTGTATTAGTTACAGAATAACGAGTTCATCTTTTGAGGTACACGCTGAACAGCAATGGAGTGTAGAAGACTTTGACGATTCAGAAGGGTGATGATGTTCATCTTGATTTCGTCTTTTTTTAGACGACTTTTTGCTCGGTTCGTTTCTGGCAAGCATCGTCCTCCATCATATCCACTCACTTTCTTCACAATGCTTTTGTTAGTCCCAGAGTTTCCGCAATCAAGTTTTATATCCCCATGTCTCTCTGTTTTTATCCATTATTGACTGGATCGCTCCGGGTACTGCGTTGACCAAAATCTGACTAATTGTGGGCCATAATCTACGCTGGTTGAATGGAAGTCCTTTCTCCATGGGTAAGTCAGGTCATCAATTAGGGCAGCAAACAGTGTGGATGCCACCGTTATTCCAGAAGAAACTGGTATTGTAGGGCACTTTTATGTGCAAAGAAGCGGAACAAGTTAGGACCTAGATTACTTGTTTGAAATAACACAGAACTCCACATGTGTTGCGGTGAAAATTCTAGACCGAATGGCACCAGAAAAACCTTTATGTCAGAGCAGTCCGAAGATATTTTAGCCCACTCTGGGAAGTACGTCCCTTCTGAGAGAAATGAGATGTAGTTACGATACCTCTGCTTCGAATTCGTTGCAATCAGGAATTTGTGTCCAGTCCAGAATCCAATGAGCTTCAACCTGTAAATAACGTACTGTAGAGTGGACTTCGATACACCGCGTTACTATTAGCGCTGAACACATCGAGGAAATTACTAATTTATCAACTATGACAAATATTATTCTATCCTAAAAATCGCAACCAGCATAGGCTTTAGAGATTCTGAAACTTACATTCCAGGTAGCTGAATGGTTTAGCATTTTTAATTTGGCAAAACGCAAGCGCCTCCAAATTCAGTAGCGCAGTATATTACTTTCGTGTTTTTCGTTTCAAACGTTGAAGACATTCGGTTTTGCTACCAAGGAACTGAACAAAAAATTCCCTAGTATGCACTCCGTCGTAACAGCCGGTTTTCGTTTTAGCAGCGTATTGCGCCTATAGCTTAATCACTTTCACAAGAAACCTGATTTTTCTAAGTTCGAATGGTGCACCTGCTTTCGACGAATCGGTGTCACAATAAAAATACAAACTTAAAATCTGCTCTTCTCCATAACTATGGCACATTTTGTAGACAGAGCCCCGAAAGTCGATGCAACCTAGATGGCCTCCAAAAGTGGAAGACTGGATGCCTGTCAGTATTAGTGAACTATATTTTAAAGCCGTGAAATATGTGAAAATGACAATGTTTCAATCAAATTAGTGATAAAAAGCCCTGTGAAAATACGACGTGTTCACTGACTGAAATCCAAATTTAATGTATTGAGCTTACGTGTTACTGTGATGGGCTCCACCATTCCTCCATTCGAACCATCTGTCATGTGCCTGTTCAGCTTCCCAGTCAGTCTATCCAGCATGATTGGACTGCATAAGTCAACGTCCACGCCTACCATGTGCGCGTAGTCCGCAAAAAATCGCACTGTTCCCCAGGATCCGAACACAGCCCGCGATAAAGGTGAAAAACCAATCAGAAATGGTGCATAGTCTGCTTTGGTAAAGGTACGATGAAGCTAAATGGAACCAAATGAGAATGTAATTCGTTGTTGTCATCGAAAACGCATCAAAAATATCAAAAAACAAAACGCAAAATCTCGTGCAACTGAAGATTGCTTCACTCTGCTTAAAAAGCCCGGGCTAATTTCAGTCAATTTAATCATATATCCCTAAATACGGATGTTTTGATTTTCTAATTGGACAAAATGATTATGTATGGGTAGACATTATGGCTGATCGCAATGAATCGTGAACACCGTGCAAGAAGTAAGCATACGGCTGCCACACAATTACAGGCCCAAAATGGACATTGGGCTGTTCAATACCTCGTAGATGATCACCCCAAAGAATTCAAGTCCTTCATCTATACGCCGTACCATTTGCTGAGTCCTTGCTTATTTGAAAGGCTTTTATGTACATTGAAATATTCCCTTTTGCATGCGTTTTTCTATCCCAGAGTGGCGCGTAAATCCAATGATGTTCTCAAAATTTGATCAAAATGCTTTGAATGTGTTCGTATGTTCTCATCACCTTAATATGCCCTTCCTGTGGTTAGAATTTGGTTTGTTTTTGTGCCCGTTAGTTCAACTGAATGATTCACATGGTTAAATATCGCTTTTGGTACACTTTAACATCCGTGTACTTCGTTCCACGAAAAAATGTTCTGCAACGACTATTCGATGTTCGTAATGCACTAATCATAGGGTTGCTGAAAATTCTTCGGCAGCCCACGACCGCGTTTGCCCTTCTTGGAGCTCATCGCTCCCCGAGTTTCCGTCAACCTTATATTCTACTTGAAACCAAAGTGCAAGAACTCGGAGAAATACACCCATTTGCAAACAAATTTGGTTTTGCGGGAGACTCACCTGGAACCCAGCTGAATCTCTCGTTTGTGAAGTTTCCAGGTATCCAATTCAGTTGTCAACTGGATTGCAAGTATTTCGAGACTACTAAGAAGACATCTTCAGAGTTCAAATTTAACAGCTCGCTTCTGCAGAGTTTTCACAGAGATGGCTTAGTGAAGGACAGCGTTTTTGTTAGCTTGCAAGTGGTGTTCAAATGATTTGCCAGCAATTCCCTTCCTGGTAGCTTTGACAACCGTTCTGATTTCTTTGTTCACTAGATGTTTTGCTCTGGGTTTTTTCGTTCTCAAATTTAATTGGCTATCAAGATACCTTCTGTGATCCCTATCTTTCTGCGTTTTGATTGATCCGCTTCCAAGTTAGTAGTATTCGGTGGACAGAAAAACTCTCTTCTGCGCAAAAACCAGCAAACTCTCCTGACCTACTAGTACATCAAAAGTTACAGGATTTGTTTCAGACGATGATCGTTAGGCGGTAGCTTATTGATTATTGCTAACTAGTGAATAGGAAAATGTGGCCAGTGACATAGTGAGTTTTTAAGCAGGGATAAAACGTTACATAGTCATTTTTATTGTTACTGGATAAAAAAGGTGAGTATCTATTCGGATGTCTGTTTATGCATTCAGCCGCAATGGATCTTCCAGAAAGATCACCTTCTCACATCTAATGCTCTGCCAACTGTTCGTCCTTTCTTGCCATCTGAGGCATACTTAAACGAGGAGAACGCGTGCAGAGTTAGCGTCTGCCGGTAATCCTTCCTCTATTCATGAAACAGTATGATTCATACAAAGACCCTTATCACTAGTAATAGTGTTAACATCCAACTAACCTGTGTACGCACGGCATGGTTGAGTGCAGCACTTTTCATATCTCCGGCATTTACTGACCCTCCAATCGATAGAACTGAAGGAAAATGCAGCGAATTGAAAGTTCATCTTATTGTTTTCAGGGCAATATCAAATACATGAATAATACTGAATGTCACCAAAGCTCTCCTATTTAAACATAGTGGAAGCTGCTTGTCTGCGCGAATGCAAGAGGGCACTCAAGTGAGTTGTATCTTAGCCACGATCTTGAGTGGGAGGAAACCACAGGGCTCCAAAACTAAATGACAACTTTTGAAGGAAGAGTACTACATCCCCGGTAATGAGCATAACGATTCAAAGATCATTTTGTTTATCTATAAGGCAAAAGCTTTATTCAACGTATGTTAGGTTACTAAGCTGATATCGTAATTGCGTTAGCATATGATTATTTCATACCTAAAAGAGTTTAAAAGTTTGGTTACTGGTTTGTTTTTTCTAAAGTTTATCCTTGAAAGACACTAATTTTTATTGACGTCTCTCATTTTGCCTTTCGTTCGATCTTGAAGCGTCTAAACATCAAGTTTTTGTTACTTTGTTACTTTATACGGAATACACCTGTACTGATCCGGATTGATTTTGAAAGTGTAATCTAAGCGTCAGATCACGACTAACCAATCACGCGTCACTCAGCCTCCCTTGGCCTGAAAGAGTGAGAAGTGAGTTTTTAAGCAGGGATAAAACGTTACATAGTCATTTTTATTGTTACTGGATAAAAAAGGTGAGTATCTATTCGGATGTCTGTTTATGCATTCAGCCGCAATGGATCTTCCAGAAAGATCACCTTCTCACATCTAATGCTCTGCCAACTGTTCGTCCTTTCTTGCCATCTGAGGCATATTTAAACGAGGAGAACGCGTGCAGAGTTAGCGTCTGCCGGTAATCCTTCCTCTATTCATGAAACAGTATGATTCATACAAAGACCCTTATCACTAGTAATAGTGTTAACATCCAACTAACCTGTGTACGCACGGCATGGTTGAGTGCAGCACTTTTCATATCTCCGGCATTTACTGACCCTCCAATCGATAGAACTGAAGGAAAATGCAGCGAATTGAAAGTTCATCTTATTGTTTTCAGGGCAATATCAAATACATGAATAATACTGAATGTCACCAAAGCTCTCCTATTTAAACATAGTGGAAGCTGCTTGTCTGCGCGAATGCAAGAGGCCACTCAAGTGAGTTGTATCTTAGCCACGATCTTGAGTGGGAGGAAACCACAGGGCTCCAAAACTAAATGACAACTTTTGAAGGAAGTGTACTACATCCCCGGTAATGAGCATAACGATTCAAAGATCATTTTGTTTATCTATAAGGCAAAAGCTTTATTCAACGTATGTTAGGTTACTAAGCTGATATCGTAATTGCGTTAGCATATGATTATTTCATACCTAAAAGAGTTTAAAAGTTTGGTTACTGGTTTGTTTTTTCTAAAGTTTATCCTTGAAAGACACTAATTTTTATTGACGTCTCTCATTTTGCCTTTCGTTCGATCTTGAAGCGTCTAAACATCAAGTTTTTGTTACTTTGTTACTTTATACGGAATACACCTGTACTGATCCGGATTGATTTTGAAAGTGTAATCTAAGCGTCAGATCACGACTAACCAATCACGCGTCACTCAGCCTCCCTTGGCCTGAAAGAGTGAGACAGAACATTTGTGTTCGACTTTTTACTCTTGGTGAAACAGTAAGCAGCATGAGTGACATGAAGCCAGTCGCGTTGGGCCTTATGAAGAAAATAAGCCAATTAAAAAATGACTGCATAAACGCAAACATGACCAGAAAAGTTGGTTTCGAAGACTGCTCAATTGCCTTGCTACTAAAAAGCCTTTCAAATATAAATTCGGAAGATAGGTTTGAAAGGATTTGAAGTTTACTTCCTCGTGGTCGGGTTTGGCTTAAGTTGCATCCTCCAAAACACTCAGAGCTCTAAACAGTAAGGAACTATCGATTTAAGTCAAAAATAAGCAATGATACAAATGATATACTCCTAGTGTATCAGGTTCACTATGGCTGAATACTGCTCAGTTTATTTACTCACAAATGCTAGCTTATTTAACAACCGTAATACGCTTTGTGTTTGCTGCTGTTGGTGCAGTCGAACAGGGAAGTAAAGAAATCAATGACTAGAGACGTTAGTGAGACATTAAACAAAGTTCGTTTATTTGGCGAGCATGGGGGCACTTACCCTCGGTGGCTCGTAAATCCACGTCTGCAAGCAGAAATGTTTGGTAATCAGGCGTTCGGATTAGGGAGAACAAAACCGAGCTTCATTATGTGGTGACAAGTATCCTGGTTTTACCTCCTAGTATTCCTACGCCAAATACGTAACACCTGTGAAAGCGGCCGTCTCCTTTGTTCTTACAAAAGGCTAATCCTTCCAGAGTTAGTTGATTCAGTTCAGCCCACGTTAATGAGCTGGTCTAATTTCGTACAATTCTGTGAAACCGATTTGAACCTTTGAAAAATACTCCCATTTGCACCACGTAGGACTTAAGTTTTGACAGAAACTAAGGAACTGCTTTTGCCTCATAAGCTGCAAGAAGGGTGAAACCGATCGTGCACTGTCGGAGATCTTTCATCAATCTTCAGAGTAGTGTGGTGAGCAGGCTCTTGTAAATGCAGGAACCATCCGTGATTTGTTTCATTCTGACTTATCAAAATCTGACTAGATTCCGCACCACCTAGACTGATGGGATCGTAATGCGGAGAGCACTAAGTAATCTAGATAATTCCGCCTCACGGTTTGACATGCAGTCTACAGATGTGGAGTGTAGGGTGCCTGGGTGGGCTCGAACACTAACCTCATTATTGTGGATGAAGCGATAGAGGTAGTTGACTAATCCGTCCACCTGGGTAGCCGTATCAGTTCAGGTAGTACAGACAAAGACTGTACTTCCATACGCACTGACAAGACTAGAGTAGCTTCCGTCAAACTGCGCAGAAGCGGTATCAGTTCATTCGCCGAGGGTGAAGTGTACGATACAATGATACACCTTCTACTATTATTTAAATTAGAAACCTGAACGCTATGTACTGGAAACTCTGCAACTCTTCAGTATTCGACCCTCGACGCCTTTTGAACTTTGGGTGAGTCTGGTAGGCGTATCGGATCAGAAATGCCAGAATATGTCTAATGTTTTCGAAGGAAATAATGGGTTCATCACTCCATAGGTTGCGCAATGACCTGGCGGCATTGATGAGCAAACTCAGTTGCGCTGGACAAGAATCTCGAGACGGGTCACAGCAAGAAACTGTGAGATATGAGCCAATCGCTTAATGGCACGCCCACACCAGAGCTGCTGCACTCATTGCTTGACTTACTTTCCTGATCACCTCATTGAAAAGTCCACTGGCATCTATGTGCTGAGGCAGCAACTATATCAGCCACTAACTCCAACGTGTGGTTATCTGCCCCTACATTCCTAGACTATTGGAGAACCAATGTGTTGCAGCCATAACGACTGTAAACCAAGCACGCGGTTTTTAGAGTTGATGGAAAGGATGATGGAGATGACGGTGATATTGCCAAGTTAATGTCACGTAAGACGTTGGCTAACATTATTGCGTCGTTTCTAACAGAATCCGACGTATCTGCCAAAGTAAACTGTCATTAAGGTAGACAACGATGACATTAAGTCTAAAGCAGGGTCCTTAGAATTTCAGTTTGCTTCAAACAGTTAACCCCGTTTCCGGAACAGTGAAAGGATAAGTGCCTTTAGTTAAATTCTTATTTCATAGTGCATCATTCTCCCGTTTTGGGTTGGAGAAAATCTAGTAATAAACTATAAGCAGTGCATGCAGTTCGCTCAAACATGCTAGGACTGTGAAATTGACAGTGTGTTCGAATAGGCGGCTATTCATCATCAAACACAAACAGAGAGGTTCCGAACAACCCAATTTGCGCTGAGTTGGAGAAAGACAATGTTCTCAAACGTATTCCTAAGATTTTTGTGGACGTCATTTGAATATTTGACGTTGATGAACAGACACATACAGACAGTTCAGTAGTCCCCAAATCGGGCATCGGTTAGCTACTGAGATGTTGCCTACAACTTTGTTTGGACAGATAGTACACATTGGTATCCTCAACAATAGGAGGTACTAATCCGGTAACTAATCCGGCACTTGTTATACCAAAACAGATATCCTTTTTATGAGCCTGATGAAATGCAACACGACAGCAATTAACCTATTTGAAACATTTCCAACGCTGATGAACCTCAATCCTCCGCTGTGCAGCCCTAAATGGTATCAATTTAATCTTCCGTCTTTTTGTCACAGATTGTGAATTCGTTCGAATTTTCGGGCCAATATTCGCAGGTTAGCAATTGGTAGACGGCTTATTGTGGAGTTTGTTGTGGGGACCACATTATATAGCCTAGATCCGAGAATCCTTTCTTGGGTTCTAGAAAACTTTTTCACAGAATGACCACAGTAAGTAGACTGAGGAAACTGACTGATGTCGAAAATTTATTGGAAACTTCCGCCATCCATCAAAAACTGAAGTGGTTGTCCACATTTACATTGTAATTGATTAAGTCAGCTACCAATTCAGCACATGACTTTCGAGATAGCTTCCCCTACAGTGTGCGGGAAAAGTATACTAATCCATTGGTTAGAGCCTGAACAAATCCATGAAGGTTTTCATGGGCGACCGCGGGCTTATGAAATACCTGATTTAGTCATAGTACACATACACATTTGTTGCCACAATAAGCAGAGAAATACCCGAAAACTCACATAGTCAATTGAAGTCCGAAACAAATGCTTAAGCCCAGAAAAATGCCACACAGAAGAATGTGAGCATATGAAAGCGGCGGAACTAGAGTCAGTCGTGATATCAGTTGTGAGAACATTGCCTTCCTGTGGGTACAATGTTTGGCTGCCGGTGGCCTCTGGTCTTCTCTAATCACATGATCTAGCGTGATTACTCGGTCAGTCAACAAAAATGACATGCAGCGTATCACCCTCCGAGTTTAAGTAAACTAGTAACGCTAATAAACAAGAAAATGAGGATAAAACGGGTCTACTTTTCAGTGAAACACGCAGAATTTAATATTTAACACATCAGTCCAAACGAATTTTTCTCTCTTTTAGCTATGGAGGTTCTTTGCTGGTGTTCAGTTACACGAGATCATTTATCGCGCCTGTGATTGTATGTTGTGTCGTTGCTTTCTAAAATCCTACCTGACCAGTTGACTAAATAATGGAAACTACAAAAAAGTACGTTACAAATTTTGGAAACGTGGTATTCAGAGGGATGTGATAATCATAGTTTGTCTCTCGGACTTACTTTCAACAGCAATTGATGAGGAGTCTTCAGCACCGGCAAAATATATCTTGCTGTTTAAATAGGGGATAAGGAACTCCCGGATGTGTGCGTTCCAGGTGCCCAGTGTGGATGACCGCACGTGAGTCTGTTGTATATAGACAGCGATTCGCCCCCGAATGCTGAAGAACGAATTCGAATATAGTTCTAGGGTGTTACAGTACAGCACTGCTTTTGAGAAGGCGTAGTATACTGTGGCCGAGAGACGATCAAACTGCAAAAGCCAAGGGATAAGCGTTAACGAGTTTGGCAGTGATTTAAAAAAAATCGATAGTTTCATGCAACCTGGATTCACCGCAGCATATCACATGACCGATGATTATCTGAAGTGTACCACAAAACATTGCTATTCTTGCTAAAAATCTGTACTTGGATAGGCTGGAGTTTTAAAGCCAACAGTTGTCCGAATGCCGATTTGAGACATTCAGTCCTTTCTAGCTGGATAACTTGAAGAGATCTTTCCTGATGATTAGGAGAGGGGACCACTCACCCTGTTTAGGTGTCGGACAAATACAAGACGGACAAATAGGTCGGGGTTCAACTACAACATAGGCATTCAGCTTCTCTCCCCAATCTTTCCACAAAAAACACGTTATAGGCGGATTGAACTGGATTCAGTTCCCGCCCTCTTGAACAGGGTTTGGACGCAGACCTCCTTGTGGTTTACTGGTTGAATGCTGTTGTAGTTCAGCATTTGACCCGTTTGTCTGTTTCCAGTATACGCAGGTCTCCAGAGTCTCATACACTTTTCTGTTCACTAAAAAGTTCAAGAATAGTAGTCAACTGTTCCTCGCCAGTTCGGTTGTAATCTTGACATCTTCAAACTTGGTGTTTAATTCGATCAACCAATGCACTGTACTGGCTCCATTTACGCACCACTACGTGCAAGGTACCAACACCTCAACCAGAATACCCAAGGAGAACCGAATATCCGATTCATAAACAAAGAAACAAGGAACTCCTTGGAGTCAGATCAATACAGATGGAAAACCGCAACTCGGAAGGGCCAAGGACAGAGGTCACCCAGCATCGACCAGAGCACGAAGGCAAGGGATGTCAATCTCAAAGGTCACGTGTGCATCGGTAAATCAGGACACAGGATAACAGAGCAACCAATGGAACCGCCCGACTGAACAACTAATCTTGATCAAATGCAATCCGTGGATAGCAGCACGTATATTAACACTGTGTACAACTACCAACCCACCGCTATGCAACACTACGCTTCCTAACAATCCACTGATGATGTCACCTCGATTAGTGATGAAGCGATTGCAATCAAATTGCCCAGCTCAGTGAACAAGCCAACGACCGTCTACGCTATCTGAGCCACCAACATTTTCCTCTGTAGAAATATATTGTAGATTTGTATATTCACGCGAATAAACTGATATACTTCATTCACTCCTCTGCCGGACTTACGATCAAGGTTAACCTTGCAGAGGTGTAGGTTGCCATGTAAGGCGGACAGGTCGTTCATCGTCGTTTCGTAGCAATTCAGGGGATTGTGCAGAAGAAATCTGGCGAACGTTTCATTCACTCAGGAGGACTAACACGCCGGTAACTTAGCAGAAACCAAGGAATCACTTAAGGACACTTTGAGCGAGTATAACGTGTCCAATCTACATAAGGCGGAAAGTTAGATGACTTCACCGTAATCTCGTCGTTGCTCAACTGAGTTGCTCCCATCATTCTTCGAAAGGTCTACTCCCACCACCCCGTGACCTCACACGCAACCCAGTTATGAAGTTATGCGGTGAGAATTCGCAGGATAATTGCTTTGAAATGGCGAAACCATCGGACAATGCGATATTTCCCCCCAAGTTTGTGACAAACTGAGAGGGAAATTCTTGCAGAGAAAGAATAATCGTTTTAGCTTCAGAAAATATTACAGAGACAACCAAAATTATATCTGACTTGTTGAGTACATTTCAGTTGTCTAATGATGCACCAATCGGACAGCCCCAGGTTAATGCCATCTTTCAATCAGGGATGTGTCTTGTGCTACTCGACCCAACATGCATATAGAAAGACAGAGTGCTTTCTTACATCATTCACCCACCGATGTAATTCAACCTCTTGCGTATCAGAAGTTGAAGTAAACGTCAATCGGCCCTTAAATCGCATTTAATTTGAAGGGGTTTTACAGGAGATCTAACCAATCATATTGCTCAGGTGGGAATAAGTTTGCAAACGTGAAAATTCAGATGCGTCCAGCATGCTCTAGTGGAGTAATGGTAACGCGCCTTCCCTGTCCAGAGTTCAAACGCCGATACGGACCATGGAAATGCACTGCTGATGAGCTCCGATAAGAATGAAACTCGAGTATAGTGCCTCGCCCTTTGGTATGGATTCACCAGAATAATTAAGCCAGGACAGGAGGACGATTGTTTAAACAGGAGTGAAGTGAATATGAGTTCCATGAATCTCGTCACTGCTCACAAAAAGTCAAACATGTTTTTTACGCACTTAATCAATCCAAATAACGAAACCATGTGCGACCAGAAATTCTGGCAAGAAAATTTGTGGAAAATCAACTGTTATGAATTTAGGGTCTGTTTTTGTTCTCAGGTGACCTTCATACTTAGCAACTAAATACCAGGTCAGTCCTACGTAGTGACCAAAATCAGGCCACAGCCTTCACAAGTTTGAATTTTTCAGGTGGTCAGAAAAACCCAACATTCCAAACCAGAACGCGGCAAATTCTACCAAAAATTTACCGGTGAGACAGCTGTCGATCAGACTGGACAAACGTAACTGTTCCTTATTCAAACCTTGTGGAAGCTGTGAGAAATCCTAAATGATAGTGAAGTTCACCAACGATTCGGCAGTTAATGGCACTCGCTGAATCACTAGCTAGATCGCTAAGTTACTAGCTCAAAGATTGGCGAGGGAAAAACTAAATGAACTAAGAGAAAGTGACCCATAAAAGCATAGGGCTTTACTCACAATCACACATGATCTACTCAAGTGCAATTACCCTGAGGTGATAAATGATGGATGCATTGCCTCATGGGTATTCTGTGTGTAGCTGAAAAATTTCCCCTGTCTGGATGAGGCTCCTATCTGCACAGATATCTCCTCCACTGTCAATTCATTTCCGTACGACAAAGCAAGTGATCGCTGGATGTTCTGCTCTGCCATCAGCAACTCAATGCGATTGGATTCCATTAAGGAATGAACACTGATGGGTGCAAATTACTGATTAGTTTGAGTATCAGTAACATTCTACTCAGATACACTAAGTAGAAATATGTGGAAGCTTCCGAAGAAGGATATCAAATAGTTTGGCCTCAAAAATTGGAATTCTTGGAGCGAAAACCACAATGATACAACCTTACCACCTTACTGTCAACAATTTAGGACATTAGCAAGTTTGGTTTGGGACTCTTCTGTTTGATGTAGCCGTAAGTTGTGCTTTATCTCGGCTGTCCTCGAAAAAGCTGTTCGGATATAGCATGATCTTTGAGCGCAATACGCTGAAACTTGTTACTGCGCGTTCCGTACATTTTAAAATTTCATAATCCATAAGACAACGGAGAACAGAAAGGAAGTGTCTGATTGCACAGAAAGTTTTCCAGCTGTACGACTCAGGGTCAGGCTAAAATTAAAAGATTAAAATACCCAAAGTATTCGAGTTAGTTCATTTTAGGAACAAGTACTATAAAACAATGAAAATAGGTCTACTCAGACGAATAGTGATTGTAAGCGTTTCAAGAAAGTACATACCGTTGAGCACATATCTCCATTTACAAAAGTGCCATTCATGTCACTTTCTCTGAAATGCACTTGGAGTTTCATCACTGGATTAGATGGAAAAAAACGTGAAGAAGTGATTGCACATCACATGTTCCCACCTCACAGCATACAGAACATATGTAAGAATATCAGTAATCTCATGACTTTTGACAGAGAGAAAGATGTTGTTAAATTTGAGTTCAACTGAGACACAAGGAAATATATGTACATCGTTGCTATTGAATGCCTGGTCTCAAGCGAACGTGACTTTCTAAAGTGACTCCTCATTTCACAATAAAAATGAGCTACTCTGCTTGTGTTGGTAACGGACAAAATAAATCGAAATCCGTTTTGCCAGCTACACTCTGCATTTTGAGAACAAAGCTTTACAACTCACAGAAGGGATCGTTTACCTCGATAGAGTACTCTTCACCGGTTTCATTAGCCGTCGCTATCTCCACCCCTCTTTAGTGCCCCACAAAAAGGTGCAGTGACAAAAGATACCTTGACATCACCAAGGGTGACCAAGAGTCCATCCTGTAAAAATCACACCCCGAACACTGAGTGTCCAACATATTCTTAGAACCGAATACTTTAGGCTCTTATTTACTCAGATCAATGAAGCCGCTGCATGATGTATTTGGGCTCTTTAAATCTGAACGGCAAGTGTCAAAAATGGAACCAAAATCCCGGGAACACAGTTGTTCTTTTTTTTGGGGGGGGGGGTCACCTTTAAAAACTATCCACCGGTCTTGAAGCGTATTTCATTGGTATAATTTCCCTCAGGACAGACTAGCTGGCAGGTAGACCCCTTGAACTAATCTATTCACACGGAACAAACTTCACATGTAAAATGCTTTTGTGCTGTTGTTTTAAAATGACTGGATACTGATGGTCCAATGCTTTTCCAGTAAAACCTCAAGGATCCTTGAACAAACATCTGAAATGTTGAAATTTCATTGTCGGTCCCAACTTCTTTGAGTATTTTGTGATTTAAAAACCAAACGCCAAATTTTAACACGCGCTTTGAATTGCCGGTTTACTACAGAGTCTACAAAGTCTGATGAAAGACAGTCTAACTGCTTCAGAAAACTTAAGGACAATAAGAGGATGACCCTCAAGTAATGCACTACTCATAAGGTTGCTGAAAACTCTTGAGTAGTGCATTACAAGATATATATGTATCGAGATATCTCGAATGTCGTAGCGACCGAAACATGAGGCGGCCTGGTGCAGCACATTCAGTTGCCTGGGAACATCACAAACGAGAGATTCAGCTGGGTTCCAGGTGCGTTTCTCGAAAAACAAAATTAGTTTGCAAATGAGTGTATATTCGCTGAACCCCAAGTAAGTTCAAATAGTCACGGCTATGAAACCGTTTGTTCAAAATCTGCCTTCTAAATTGCAAGTGCATGGATAATCGTGGCAAGAGACCGGTACCCGATTTAGAACCGCACTTGAAGGATAGAATTCCAGGGGTCTAAGCGGCAATCCAGACCTCAGCTGGCTGGTTTGGCTGACTAGCTTGGGAGAGAAAAAGAT